CGCACCGACTATATCCGTTTGGCCTTGTCAGAGAGCATGTTCGACAACGCTGCGCATGCGACTGCAGAGCGCCCCTTCTGGCACGACGCGCCCGTGGCGAGTCATTGGAGCTTCTTGACGCGCGTCTGCATGGTGATCCCCTTGAAGTGATCTTGAACCATGAAGTCAAACCTGCTGGTGAGCCTGGCTCGTTCATTATATTGGTTGGCTGGTGAATTCGACTACGTGGGTGGAAGGCCTCTTAAATGCCGTATCGAAGAATTCTTGGCGCCAACCGATCGCGGTCTCGAGATACGCCTTATCCTGGAAGCCATCCGCGAACACCACCACGCTTCGAATTTCGATAGGCGCTCGATCGCCTTGTTCGCATGCTCCTCGGCAATGCCCCCTGCAGGAAGCGACCAAACTGACTCACCGTCACGGGTCCAGACGAGGAAATTCTCGTATAACCTTCACAACTTTAAATTATTATGTGTGGGTGCTGCACGGTCGGAAGCATGGATCAGATTGGTATCGATTCTCCTCTCCACAGATCACTTCAAAAAGGCAATCGAAGGAAGCAATCGTCTCATCTGGTGAATACTTCTCCACACTGTAAAAATAGAGGCAGGGGAATCTGGAACATATACATATTCTTGATACACGTGTGTATAGGTATACGTAAGCAGGTGCACACCTATACAACTATACATAGAGAGAGACACTATATACATCTCTGTGTGTACGTGCGACTACAAATACATCTAGGGCTCCACCTATTATACAACGCCTTGCCGTGCACGAGATGAACGCCGTGCAACAGGCTGCATGAGAATTGCAACTAGCCGCCATACCATGTATCTAGGTATCCAATACCATGTACCTAGTACCAGCGTCGAACGCCCTCAGAAACGACCTGCGTGCTTACAGCCTGAATTTTCCCAATACGCGTGGCATGTCTGCCAAGCAATTCGAATCATGCGCACCAATTTCCAATCACACGCAAATCATCCCCAAGCCATACCGTCAAAATCATGCCCACTCGGGGTGCAAATACCATCCTCAGTGTTGCAGCCAACCGCGCATCATCGACTCCATTGCTGGAGCAAACGGCAAACCACGGAATTCCTTACCGTACTACGGAGAAAAACATGTTGAACAAGTTCGCGTGTAACAAGAACGATTGAAACAAGTTCGCGGAGCGGACCAAACTGTACCTGAAAACAAAGTGTCCAACAACCCGGTTCGCATGACAAGTTCCTTCATCGGGGAAAATTAGGAAAACATGGATCAATATACTACTCCTTGCGAGCATCTTCGCGGAATAGGTATCCGGCCATAGGGGCATGGGCGGGGACAGAATCTGGTCCTCTTCAGAAATTGAAGCAGAAGAGTGGTACAACTCCCTTCACCTGAGTGTGAAATAGTCTACGTCGAGTTTTTGGCGCAGTGTTTTTGGTGCGTAGTGCTTTTGCGTAGTGCTTTTGCGCAGCGCTTTTGCATAGTACGTTTACGTAGTGTTTTTGCGTATGTAGTGTTTTTGCGTATTCTTTGCACGTAGCGTTTGCGCGTGATGTTTTGGCGTCGTGCTTTTGCGCAGTATACTTGCGTAGGTTCACATGTCGAATATTCGCGTCGCCGTTTGGCGTGGGGTACTTGCGTAGGGTGTTTGCGAAATGTATTTGCGTGGTGTATTTCGCGTGACGAATGGACGTAATGTGTCGCGTAGTGTTAGCTTTCCGCGTTGTGGTTTCGCGTAATGTGTTCGCGTCATGCGTTTCCACGATCGACCCACGAACTCAGAAAGGGATGCAGAACTGCGAGGCCTGGGGACGCTTCCTAGCCCCCAATCGGGCGATGGGCAATAGCAATGCTGGAGATGCCCGGAGTGACGCTACTGTGCCGAGGGCCTCGTCGTGCTCGTCTGCGCTGTGCCGCGCCGCACTTTGACATAAAAGAGGGCGCGGCACGATGTGTACGTTCGTAGTGCACGTGTGTAATGTACGTGCGCAGTGTGCTTCGCGTACCGAATGGACGTAATGCTTTCGCGTGGAATTAGCGCGCAGAGTTTCCAAGTCGTGTTCTTCGCGTAGTGTGTTGCGTCATGATTTGTGCGTAGTGTTCGCGAGCAGTGTTGTTGCAGCGCGTCCTTGTTTAGTCTTTTCGTGTCGTGTTTTCGCGAGGTGGCTGTGTTCGCGAAGTGTTTTCGCGAAGGGTACTCCCGTCGTGGACTCGCGTGTTTTCGCTGGACGCTATGGTCGCCCGCGTCTCTCGTCAGCGTCGCCGGGGTCCGCAAAGAACGGGCCGCTGGAGTGCCGCAGGAGCGCCCCGCCTCGGCACGCTACCCAAATTCTCGCCACGTAGGAGCACGACGCAGAACAAGACACAGAAACGCGCAAGCGCTGCGGCCGCCCGTGCCTCCCGCGAGCGCCGCCCGAGTCGAGCCCGCAAGTGGCGGACAGCTGCCACGACGCAGGAGCACCCCGCATCGGCACGCCAAAAGCACGCCACAGAACAAGAGAAGCCACGCGCGAGCCCGGCGGTCGCCGGCGCCTCCCGCGAGCGCCGCCCCGTGCCCGCAGGGGGGCGGGCCGCGGGAGCGCCGCAGGGGCGATCCGGCGTCGGCACGATGCACGAAGCAGCACGACCGAAACGCGACGCCGCAGCAGGAGAGGCCACGCGCAAACGCCACGGTCGCCCGCGTCACGAGCCGACAATTCGAGCCTTCCGCCCCAGGAGGCCTCCAGGAGGCCCCAAGAGGCCCCCAACAGAGCCCAAGAAGCCCCCCAGATGCCCCCTAGAGGCCCCACGGGGCCCCCGAAGGAGGAGGAGGAGGAGGAGGAGGAGGAGGCGGAGGAGGCGGAGGAGGAGGCGGAGGAGGAGGGCCCAAGAAGACGCCCCACGAGCACCCCAAACGGCCCCCAAGAGGCCTCCAAAACTGCCTGCAAGAGGCCCCCGGGAAGCCTCCCTCGCGAGCGCGGCCCGAGTCCGCCGGGGGGTCGCCGCTGGAGCGCCGCAGGAGCGCCCAGGGCCGGCACGCCAATCGAAGACACCACCCACGTAGCACCCCGCAATTGCGGATAAGAGTGAGGGGGCGGGCGCGGGCGACGCGGGCGTCGAGCCGGCGGACCTCGTGGCCCTCACCTTCCCTGTCGATGGCGCCCTCCTCCTCCTCCTCCTCCTCCTCCTCCTCCTCCTCCTCCTGCTACAAACACGACGCAGAAGAGGAACAGTCACGCGCGGACGCCACGGTCGCCCGCGCCTCCCGCGAGCGGCGCCCGAGCTCGCAGGGAACGGACCGCTGGAGCGCCGCAGAAGGCGCCGGCATCGGCACGCTGCCCGAAACCACGACGTAAAAATACGATGCAGAAGAAGAAAAGCCACGTGCACACGCTACTCAACCAGTATGGTGAGGATGCGCGATAAGGTTGCAAGGGCCTTGGACGCCCATTTCGGAGCTGTTCGGGCGGGGCGCGGCCAGCGAAAGCGGCGAAGGATTGACCGAGGAGGCGAGGATGCAACGGTACCCTTGGGAAGGTTGCCCATCCTTACTATCATGGTTGACTGTACGGTCGCCCGCGTTTCTCGTCAGCGTCGCCGGAAGCCGCATGGGGGGGGCGGGGGCTGCTGGAGCGCCGCTCGGAGCGCCCTGCGTCGGCAAGCGAAGCGAAAACACGACGCAGAAGCGCTGCGCAGAAGGGAACAATCTCCCGCGGAAGCGCCGCCGCGAGCGCCGCCCTGGGAGCGCCGCGGGAGCGCCCTGGGGAGGTTTCAGCGTGGTGTTTTTCCATCGCGTGTTTGCGCAATGTTTTTGCGTCGCGCTTCTGTTTCCGTAGTGCCCCCTTCAAATGTAAAACATGTTATTTCACGATTGCAAATTTATCTCGCCATTGAGCGTAAGCATAACCGTCCCCTGCTCGGATGGTCCTGGCCAGTCGGAGGTTCGTTGGCGAGGGCATGTCGAGCAAAGGAAGATCCACGACGCGATCGCACTAGGACCCCAGGTGGAAATTGTCGCTTCGCTCGCACCGCTGCTCCAATGCACGTCGGCAATCTCTGCAGCGTGCTCGGCAATACGCTAAGCCCCTCGTCGGTCCGCAGGGTGACGCCAGGGGGGCCGATAAAAGCACCACGAATCGAGCTCGGCTCGACAAGAACCCTGGAGAGAACCTGGGCAACGACATCTCCCCATCCCACCATCATAGGGGGATGCGAAGTCCCCAGAGACGGGACGGGGTGGGCATGGGCTGGTATCATAAGCTGGCCCACTACCAAGAAGAAGCACCACAGCTTCTACGCCAGTGCACAAGACTGATCCACTGACGTATCCACGTCATCCTCCATCCGTTGGCATCACACTCATGCGAAGCAGCATGCTCCCCCCCATGCAGCGAAACACCCTTCAGCGAAAACGGCACGGGGCCAGACCCGGCGGGCGCAAGCCCGCAGCACTGGCAGCAACAGCACCCTCTCGAGAACGGTCAAACGGCCATCCGCTGATAGACTTGGCAAAAGGGGGCCGGCATCGACCTCCGATGATCGAAGGGGGGGGGACCCATCCCCCCTTTCCCCTGCGAGCTCCTCTCAGAAGGTCCACGTGTGCCTGCTGGCGCACCGTCGAGTCCTGCCCGTTTCCCGAGCCGCGCGCTCAGCCGTGGCGACGAGTGAGGGCTCTCGAGTAGAAACAAAAACAAATGCCACAAACGCAAACTTTTGGCGCTCCGCGCGGACTTCTTGGATCTGCGCTGAACTCCCCTCCCTGGCACGCGGGGCGCGCCAGGGGCGGCGCCAGGACACCCCTCCCAGCGCAGATCCAAGAAATCCGCGCGGAGCGCCAAAAGGTTCTATTAAAGCAGTTGTTTCTTCTTCGACTCGAAGGCCCAGCAGAGAAGAGAGGGGAGAAGGAGGGAACTGAAGCCCGACGCAAGCACTGACCCAGGCCAGCCAAGAGGCATGGCGCGAGCACAGGCTGCGAGTGACGCTCTGGCGGGGGGGGGGGGCCGGGAGGCGAGGCGGGCGTCCCGAAGGGCTCGGCATTGAGGCGCTCCACGATCTCCTTCAGCTGGGCGGCCAT